GCGTTAATCTGTCGGTATCTCATACCTATCATAGCCCGTCTAAATCTGTCGAACCAAGTACGAGGAGATTACTTCAGGCCATATAGAGACTTTTTCAATCTGCAGACCTTGCTCACTGTCTGTTCTGTGTCGAATCCTGGCGGAATATCCATGTATACCTCTTCCACCAGATCTCCATGAAGAAATGCATTCTTCACATCTAATTGGTGTAGCTTCCATCCACCATTTACTGCCAGAGAGATCAAGGTCCGAACAGTGCTCATCTTCGCCACTGGTACAAAAATCTCATCATAGTCGATGCCATATGTCTGACTATATCCTTTTGTCACCAGACGAGCTTTGTAGCGCTCAACCTGTCCATCTGGATTCTGCTTCACAGTGAAGACCCACTTGCATCCAACTGCTCTCTTCCTTTTTGGTAGTTTTACTAACTCCCAAGTATGGTTTTTCTCAAGGGCCCCTAGCTCTTCGTGCATAGTAACTTTCCATTTTTGGTCCTTCTTTGCAACCTGCCAATTGTTAGGTATAGTAACAGAGTCCAGTGATGCAATGAATGCTCTATGTGCAGGGTGGCTATTAGAATATGATACAAACTGGACAAGATCCCAACCATATCTATCGGGAGGATTTTCCGTATTACTACGAGTACTCCTCCGTACAGATATTGGTGTGGGAGGAGTAGGAAGAGGAATGATATCACCTTGAGAGGAATCTGGTGGTGGTGTAGGTGTCTCAAGAGTCGGAGCAGGCGTTGGCAAGGGACTTGGCACCGGTGGCACTGTAGATACTGTTCCCGTAATTTGTTTCCCCTTCCTACTATAGGTAAGTAGCTCCCCCTGAGCCGTGGGCCTAACACCTCTTGTCTCATTCTCCTCTTCTTCATTCTCCTGCTCCTCCTCAACCAATTCTCCTTCCCAAGGAATCGTTACAAAAATTGATTTTTCTGATCTCTCACCATTCTCAGACATTGATTTCTTCACATTTACCAATCTCTCACCATTCTCCTCCTCTCGCCTCATACTTCCAGTATTAGGCGAGTTACCAACGGATGAAGTTACCTTTCGGGTGTAATATGACTCGAGTTCTCGAAAGTGCACATCCATGCTCACAAACAACCTTTTCTCCACCGGGTTCCAGCAAACATATTCCTTCTGAGTAGCAGAATATCCCACAAAGATGCATTTCACCATTCTAGGGGCAAGCTTCCCGACGGATGGCCTGTTGTCCTTCACAAAGCACACACAGCCAAACACCTTGAGTGGAAGAAGCCCACCATTATCTCCCTTCAACGACTCACACGAAGACTTCCAATCCAGTACTCTTGAGGGCATTCTGTTGATTAGTGCTGCTGCGATCAACACTGCTTGCCCCCATAATATTTCCGGGACATTCATGGAGATCATCATACTTCTAGTTCTAGCAACCTCTAAAAGATGTCTATTTTTTCTTTCCGCTACTTCATTTTGAGCTGGTGTGTATGGACACGTAGTCTGGTGTTGTATTCCCTGAGCTGACAAGTATTCACCAAACGCTTTGTTAGTATACTCCGTCCCATTATCAGATCTCAATACCTTCACCACAGCGACGTATTGAGTCTGAGCATACCTATGAAAGTTTTGAAAGCAACCAAACACTTCACTCTTATTTTTTATCAGGTACAACCAAGTAATGCGGGAGAAACAATCAATAAAGGTAACAAAATACTTGTATCCATTCATAGAACTTGTAGAACAAGGCCCCCAAATATCTGAATGTATCAGGTCGAATGCACGAGAACTCCTATGACCAGAACTTACATAAGAACTTCTAGTAAGCTTTTCAAACTCACATGCATCACACACAAGGTTCTGCTTATTTGCTTTCTCAAATAGAGATGGATACAACCTACTTAAAACACTAAAGGATGAGTGTCCCAAACGCTGGTGATGAAGCATCAACACACTCTCAGCACTCATCTCAGATCCTACTTCTGCTCTCTCTATCATTGACACCAATGCTGAATCTAGCCCTTCACGATCCAGATACCACAGTCCACTACGTCATGTGTCAGTCCCAAGTCTCCGCCCTGTCTCCTTCTCCTGGAAGATCACATTGGGAATATCAAAAGAAACAATACATTTTAGTTGGAGGATGATAACACTAATGGACAAAAGATTGACTGGAAAGGAAGGAACATGTAAAACATTAGACAAAGTTACAGAACCTGTACAATCGACTGTACCCTTACCAACCACTGGCTGAAATGTACCATCAGCTGTTTGAATACTATCTGGCGATGCTAGGTGAGTATATGATGAGAACTCACTAGCATTACCTGTCACATGTCGAGACGCACCGGAGTCGACTATCCATTCTGATGATTTGTCGGGAGACATAGAAGCAAGAGCATGTATGTCATCAGTACCTTTGGTCGGATGAGCATAGGTAGCAGTGTTGCCTCTGGCGAAGAATGATGTGGATGCCTCCTCTGTCCCACTCCTCCTGTCTTCATCCCCTGCTACTTTCTGCTTCCTCCTGAGTATCGCCAGGAGCGCCTGATCCTCCTCAGTAAAGATTACCTCGGCTTCTTCTCCTCCTTCTGCTACCATCAGATTCGTCTGGTTGCCTGCTCCTCTTCCACCTCGTCGACCCCCACGATCACGACCACGCTCTCCGAACTGTCCACGTCCACCCGAATCTCCTTCCTTAGGTGGCTTGGTGCAAGCATGCCTTAGATAACCCACTTCACCGTAGTTGTAGCACTGCCGAGTCTCTCCCCTGGATCCAGTATTGCTAGATGCTGCCAATGCTGACTTTACCACAGGAAGTTCACATGTCCCCGCCTGCAGCCTAATGCGAGTGTCCTCCTGGATCATAGTCGAGACAGCCTCCTCAAACGTGGGAATTTTCGGCTGAGCTAGCAGTAATGTAATTCGCTGAGCGAACTCTGATGTCAATCCATTGAGAAACACCATAGTCCTCTCTTGTAGAAAAGCCTCCCGCTCTTTACATCCCGGGTCCTTGCAGCTCGCCCGGGGGGAAAAGTGATCATAATCTAGCCACAGGCACTCCAGCTCTGTGGCATATTCCTGTACAGTCCTCTCTCTCTGGACTGTGGCGTCGATCTCTCCTTTAATCTGGAACACCCTCAGGTTATTCCCCACTCCATCATATGTCCTCCTCAACTTCTCCCAGACGTCCTTCACCTTCTCAATGCCATCCACCGTGGCGGCGATCGTCGGGACCAACGAGTTGAGAAGCCAGATGTACACCAACATATGAGTGGACTTCCACTCATCTCGTCCTCTCGAGTCCTCATCCGGTTCTGTCTTCTCTCCGGTCAAGTAACCCTCCAGGTTCCTCCCTGCAAGGGTGTATCTCACACGTCATGACCAACTCAGGTAAGTACTCGGTCCATCAAGCTTCAGATCGATGGTCGGAAGCTTCAACTTCTTCGATGGTCTTGTCGCGCTTTCATCAGCCGACAACTTCATCAACTTCATCAAAGTTGACACCTCCGCAGGGTTCAACTTCTTGATGATCTCCTCCATCGATCAGGCTTCAGAACCAACACCTGTTCACCTTTTTCTTCAAACCCTTGTTGTGCGCGGTGAAAAATTTTGGCAGCACTTCTGCTGCACAACAAGAGTAAGATCTCAACAATATTCTTGTTTCTCAGAGGAAACAAGAATTGAAAGTGATATATCTCATCGCCGTGAGATATACACTCTTCCTCTCATCAGTTCGAGGACTGAAATGTCGAGGGAATCCATGCCAAACTCGAGGTTCGGCAGGGTGAACGTCAGAGAGTCAGGCCGCGCCGAATGGGGGAGGCTTCGGTAATGGCGTCAGCGCTGCTCGAAGGGGGGGGCGTGGCTAGATGCCCGAGAAGGGGAGTGCGCGCGCGCCTGCCATCCGAGAGGAAAGGAGGGAGCGGCTTCACTGATCCGCTAGCGGACCTCCACGCAGCTGCATCGCACCGAGGGCGGGGGAGGGCAGCGGGCGGGGCGCCGCGCGCGGCGGGGGGCGGCGCCGGGCTCGGGGGCCGGGAGGAGGAGGGAGGCAGCGAGGGGGTGCAGCCGGGGGGGGGAGGCAGCGAAGAGGGGCAGCCGGGCAGCGAGGGGCGGGGCAGTCTGGTGGGGGGATGGGGGGCAGCGGCTAGGGTTTGGGTGGAGTCTCTGATACCAATAGAAAATGTATGAACCCCTAACTCTTATTATGAGATCTATTGGGCTTATATAGGCCCCTACACAACTTACAAATAAGTCCCTATATATTACTATTACTAATATGTCAACAATAAATAATTGCACAAGAAATCCCAACTTACACCCATCAATAACTATAACTAAAACAAGTTAGTGGTAAAGCTAAGGAGGGAGCAGAAGTGGGACAAGAAGAGGAGTAAGAGAGAGGAGTGAGATAGGGGAGGAGATGAGGGAGGTGAATTGGTGGAGGGCAGTGGAGGAGAGGTTAGTTTTGAGGAGGGAGAAAGGTTGAGAACTGAGGGGGCAATAGATGTCTCTGATTAGACTAAGATGAGAGAAAAAGTGAATATGTTTGAAAGGAGTGAGAGAGAAATGAGAGAAGATTGAAAGATGTTTGTGTAGATCAAAGTTTCGCAGAGACCAAACTGTTCCGTTGTTGCCAACCTATAGCATGGAATATGCAGGGTTTCTTGGGAGAGAAACAAAAACATTTAACATCTACATTTAGGATTTTTGGGGAAATTTTGCCACATGTCAATTGCAGAGAATAGCGTTTTAATAGTAAGTATATAGATATAGATAGATTGATTTTTTTTTATATTAGAAAATGATTTTAAAAAAGGGAAAATTGCCTAGTGGCAAATCAAGAAAACGATTTTAGAAAATTTAAAGTTTTTAAAGTGTTTTTATTTAAAATTTTGTTTTAATAATAGGAAAATGTCAAGTGGTAAGAGTTTTAATATAGAATATAGATAGATTGGTATTTTCTTAAATATTAATGACATTTTGTCTCTTGATTCATTATTTGTTAAGGAGGCTAATCAAGAGGGTGATGTAGAATATACTGGGTCTTCAAATAGTGAAGAAAAAGATTCCAAAGTAATTTCTACTTCCACGCCTTCTTGTGAGATGGAATATAAAATGAAGCATGGAGCTACTTGCAACATGAGCGAGGAGTTTCAAATACTAAAAAGTGGGATAGATTCAATTGCATCCGGAATTTGTAAGCATGAACCTCGTGTTTACTCAGAAGAGAAGTTATTTCAGGAGGTCTCGAAAGTCGAAGGACTCAGCGAGGACTCACAACTTTTAGCTTACGACTATCTTTGTGGGGAAGCCGTTCGAGGAAGGACCTTCATGGGATTACCAATTCGGCGAAGGAGAAGATGGTTGGAGCTAAAGCTTGGATGGGCGTCACATAAGCTTGATATTGGTGTGAAGAGGTAGCTTACTTTGCATCTCCAAATTTAATTGCTGAATTTTGTCTATTTACACTTTCCTAGCCACACAACTTCCCTAGGAAATGTATTAGGACTGTAACATTATTGACCTACTACTATCCATTAATTTTCCATAGTCGTGTCTTGTGGCGGCTTCTCAAATTCCACGAGGTTGTTTATGTTCTTCCTTTATTAAAGAAGGCTCCCGATTGATCCAAAGTGGTCATGTAAATTCTAGATACTTACAATCTATCTATTATCTATTACTGTTAGTTAAGAAAAACTATTTTTTGGTGCTTCACTCCTATGTTAGTCACCAATTAAAAATTATATCCCAAAAAATTGTACACGCAACTTCCAATTATTTACAACTTAGTGGAGGGACAAGTTTGGAGAAAAACAACAACATTCAAATTCATAATTACCCCTATTTAATAACTAACAAACCATCCACTATTTTATAAGTACCCCCCAAATTTTCAAAATCGCAGACCCTTTCCAAATTTCTCCTCTCTCTTGCCATTGATCTCTCTTTTCTAGCTATTGTTTATATACATATTGACGTATTCATGTTGATTATTAAGGTGTTAGCAATTATTTTATGCAAAAGTGTGGATCATATCATGCACGCATCGCATGAATACTAGCCATACATAGTATAAAAAGATAATTTAGGTGAATTTTTTGTCATGTTGAAAATCGAGTGATTTGTATCTTTCATTGCGTATATCTGATGGCTTTGGCTTCTTGATTTATAATTGACTAGTTCTATCTATAAGCTCCAATTAGGCAATTCTTGGTGGATTTCTGTCTGCTTGTTTGGTAAATCTGGTCCATGCCATGTGAACTTATTAGTTGGATCACAGTTGGATGATTCTTTGAGAACCATGGAAGTATAGTATTATGGTTTAAGAAATAATGACTTTGTTTTATGCAATTGCAAAAGGTTGGAGGTATTTTAGTGAAAAGTGGCTTTGTTCACCTCTCTGGGATGTTTCCGTTAGGACAAATTTTGAAAACCATCATATTTACAAAAAAATCACAAATTCCGACCTATTCTAAAAAATTTTGGCAAAACCGACCTAGTTTTAGCCGTCTGGCTGAAACTGAGTCGGCTTTGACAAAATATGTTCCGAAACTTCACGGGACTTCAAGTCCCGTGAAGTTTTGTAATGTACAAAATCTTCACGGGACTTTAGTTTCGAAAGAATTTTCTTCAAAACCGACCCAGTTTCAGCCCGACTCTATATTTTCAGCCTGACCCAGTTTCAGCCCGACGGCTGAAACTGGGTCGGTTTTCACAAATATTTTGTGGTCGATTTTTGCAGTTATTTTCTCAAATGGATGGTTTTCATAATTTGTCTTTTCCGTTACTTTTCATTATGGATAGTTTTGATACATTCATACATAGATACCGCAGAGCAGGTTTACTTGTGTTTAAAGTTGGTCGAGCTAGTATTGGCTATTACAAATGTGGCTCTTTGAGAATGGGGAACTGATTATAATTTTATTCGAGGATCTAGAAGTAACTGATATTGATGTAATGATGCTCTTGATCAAAAGTTTTATGACAGCCATGATGAAAGGAAGATTTGGTTATATATGTCATGAGTGATAATTGCATATTGATGTTTGTACTTCAGGATCCAATTTTTGCGTCTATGACATATTTGTTTGAAGTTATGTAACTCATATTTTCTCTTTTCATTCCTCAGCGAAAGATGCTCATAAGGAGGGTTAAGAAGAAGCATAAAACGTCCAAGAAAGGGATAAGGTTGGCTGCTGCAAGCAAGTTTCTCGTATAGAGATTACTAACATTTGCTTCTTTAGGATTCTATTTTAGTATACATGGTTTGTACTTCGCCAGTTAAACATTATTTTGGCAATGGATATGCTAGATTTTTGTCAATGGTTTTATTTCAGTATTAAACTCAGACACGTTTCACTAATTTGAGCTAAGTTTTTTGTCATTTGATTGGTAGCTATCTTGCTTTTTTGTATTCATGGGAACATGATACATTTGCTATATATTATCCTAGGTGCTGTTAGTGTGCATAGAATTGAAACTTGGCTATAATGACTCCTATTAACTTTGTTGTGATGGTGCCTCGTTTAATTTCATTGTGAATTGTTTAAAACATTCTTCAGTTATAGATGATAGTCTTACAATGCAATAATATCGTGTACGAATTCCCTGTTTATAGACTTTTTATAAGTTAATTTTTGAAAGTTCATTAATACAATATTGCTTTTAGAAGTAATTTTGCTTTATTTATGTGAATATAAAACTAACAAATTAAGAAATTATATGTTAAATTATTTAAATTTTGTATACGTACGTGGAATATATGACTTTAGTTTTAGTTCTCATTGAGCCATCATAAAGGGAAAATAAATTCTTTTTTTATATTCCTTCCAATTTTCTTTCAGTTATCATTGTTAATTAAAGGTACTAAAGAAATTTCATTTTTCTTTTCTTTTTTTTTTCCTTGTTCTAAAAAACAAACACAACTGTACTATTCCTACCTTTACAACCCTACAACATTTATTAAATATTTTTCAATATTGTTTTGACCAAACTTTCTCCTTACAAAAAGAATTTTGTTTTTTTCCTACAACATTCTTTGGCCAACTTTCCAAAAATAACTTCAACAAATTTGTTTTTTTTTCTCCCTTGAGGAAAGGTGACACGTACCTGTTACTTCTTCTTCTTCTTTTATAAATTTTTATGGAGAGTACGTTATTCAAAACTTACTCAAGAACAGAAAATTAAATAAAATATTTAAGAAGATATTATGTTATGAATTCTTTAAGCAATCTTATTCAAGCTGGAGGTAACATAACTAAGAACCTCATTTTAAAATAGCGTGGCAAGATTATACTTGAAAACTGTTAAAGTAAGAGAGAGAGAGAGAATCTTGGGTAAATTTCCCTTGAATTGAATATTGAGTGTGCACATATATTTATACAAGTAGAGGAGTGTGAGGTTTGTTCTCCCAAGCAATGTGGGACTAAAACCCACTACAATACACTATTATCAACAGCCCCCTTCAAACTCATGTTGGATCAAACAAAGTGAGTTTGCGTACAAGAAACTGGAACCGATGAACAGGTAATGCCTTTGTGAAGAAATCTGCAAGCTCGTCAGCGGATGAAACATGAGGAAGTAGAATTGTCTTGTCCTTGATAACTTGGTGACGGACAAAATGAGCGTCGATCTCAATATGTTTGGTCCTTTCATGAAATACTGGATTATTAGCAATCTGGATGGCACTCTTATTATCACAGTAGAGAGGAGTAGGAGTCGTAACAGAAATACCGAAATCACTGAGAAGGCGACGAAGATGAATAATCTCTTTAGCTGTTGTGGACATTGCACGATACTCTGCCTCAGTACTGGAAAGAGCAATAACATCTTGTTTCTTACTTCGCCAGGAAATAAGGGAATCACCAAGAAATATACAATAACCTGTGGTAGACTTTCTGGTAGTTGGATCACCAGCCCAATCAGCATCAGAATATGCACAAAGCTCTAACTTAGATGTAGCAGGAAACAAAAGTGAGCGAGTGCTAGTACCCCGGAGGTACCGAAGAATCCGTAATAAGACAGCATAGTGTACAGAACGTGGGGCACTAACAAATTGACTGACAATACCAACAGCATGAGAGATATCTGGTCGAGAGATGCACAAATAGACCAACTGACCAACAAGATGTCGATATCGGGTAGGATCAGATAGAGGCTCACCGTCAGTAGAGCAAAGTTTGACATTCTGCTGGAGTGGAGTATCGACAGTTGTATTATCAGTTAACTCAGCTTGATTTAGAATATCTGAGAGATACTTCTGTTGAGACAGTAATACACCCCGCGGGCCTTGAGAAATTTCTAGACCAAGGAAATACCGAAGAGATCCAAGATCCTTCATGTGGAACTGTTGTTGCAACTGAGATTTTGCGTATTGTATACCTGTCATATCATCACCTGTAATGATCATATCATCTACATAGATGAGTAATAAAACCCTGCCACGCGATGTAGTGCGAACAAACAGAGAAGCATCTTGATGACTTTCTATAAAGCCCGCTTTGAGCACAACATCGCGAAAACACTCAAACCAAGCGCGGGGTGCCTGTTTGAGACCATAAACAGCACGACGAAGGAGACATACATGTCCCGGAGGAATATTTGACCCTGGAGGCGGTTGCATATATACGGTCTCTGATAAAGAGCCATGAAGAAAAGCATTTTTGACATCCATCTGGTATAAGGGCCAACGATGAGCAGCAGCGACCGCAAGGAGAGTACGCACAGTGGGCATCTGAGCAACAGGAGCAAAGGTCTCCTCATAATCAATACCTTGTTGCTGAGTAAAACCTCTAGCCACTAAACGAGCTTTTCGACGTTCAATGGTGCCATCAGGACGAAACTTGACCTTATAAACCCATTTACTGCCAACAAGAGAGATCCCAGGAGGACAGGGAACAATATCCCAGGTATGAGTTTGCTGAAATGCTTGAAATTCCTCAGCCATAGCTTGTCGCCACTCTGGAATTTGAACTGCCTCTTGGAAGGACTTTGGCTCAACAATAGTATGAATGGCAGCAAGAAAGTTATGAAAGATAGGTGAATAAGAAGTAACAGAAGCATACCGGGCAGGCATGACATGTGGGCGTTTGCCTCGACGAAGAGCAAGAGGAACCTCAGGCGGGGGAGATGCTGGCGCAGGTGCATGAAGATCAACAGTATTTTCTGGAGTGAGAGTTGTGTCCACAGGATATGGATTAGATGGTGTAAGAGAAGACTCAGGTGAGGAAGAGTCAACAGAAGGAGAGGGAGAGATGTCAGGGAGATCTCGAAAGGAAAATTGAGGTGAAGAAGTGGGTGATGCAGTGGACGGGGAAGCATGATCGGTAGAGTGGAGGAAATTAAAGTCATCAGAAGTAGAATAATATGGAGAATCCTCTTCGAACTGAACATGACGAGATATATGAACTCGACGAGTTGCGGGATCATAACAACGATAACCTCGATGTTCTGAACTAATTCCTAAATAAACACAAGAAACTGCTCTGGGAGACAATTTATCACGTTCGTGAGATGGCAGAAAAACAAAACATCGACAACCAAAAACGCGAACTAGATCATAACGGGGAGGATGAGTATAAACACGACTATAAGGAGTAGCACCGGAAAGAGAGCTAGATGGAGTGATATTAATGGCATGAGTCGCGGTGAGAATAGCCTCAGCCCAGAAACGACGAGGAACAGAGTAAGAAATGAGCATTGATCGGGCAGTATCGAGGATATGACGATGTTTGCGTTCAGCAACACCATTTTGCTCATGAGTGTAGGGACATGACTGTTGAAAGATAGTCCCATGAGAGGACATGATAGAGCGCATGGCAGAGGATAGGTACTCTTTGGCACAATCAGAACGAAAAACTTTAATACGAGATTGCCATTGAGTGAAAATCATAGCAGTGAAGGCTTGATAAGCAGTAAGTACGTCAGAGCGATTCTTAAGTAGGTAAACCCATGTAAAACGAGAGAAATCGTCGATAAAACTAACATAATATAAGTAGCCAGATGAAGAAGGCAAAGGAGCTGGCCCCCAAATATCAGAATGTACTAAATCAAATAAGGAAGTGGATACAGATGTACTCATTTTAAATGGTAAAGCAGTGAATTTAGCCAATTTGCAACCAGCACATGACTCAATACTAGAACTAGATGATACAGGACCAAGTACTCCAGACTGAATAAGACTCTCCAGCCTTTTATTACACACATGACCAAGTCGTCTATGCCATAAATTGGCAGGAAGCGAGGTAGAGGGTTTTGACGAACAAAGAGAAGCAACAAGAGAACGTGGACGTATGGACTCTGGAAGGTGAAGATATTCCAGAAAATACAGTTTGTGCCTCCTACGACCCGCCCCAACCGTCTTGCCCGTCTGTGGATCCTGCACAATACAAGTATCAGAAGAAAATGAGACAAACAGGCCCGCCATGCATAAAGAGCTAATAGAAATTAAATTCAAGCACAATTGTGGAGCCACATAGACGGGACCAAGTGTTAGACGACCAGATGGATCATTTTGTGGGGTAATAGAGCCATACTGAGTAATGGACAATGGTTGTCCAGCAGCTGTGTAGATAGGAGGAAGAGAGGATGAAGTAAAGACAGAGGATAAAAGTGAGGCATTACAAGTCATATGAAAGGAACAACCAGAGTCAAAAATCCAGAGATCATTCATACCAGAGACTGAAGGATTAGCTGAAGAACCAGCAAAATGCATACCAGAGAGTTGTGCGGCGGATGTAGAGGTGATATGTTGAAAAGCATCAAGTTGACGGCGAAGACTTTCAATAGCTTGAATAGTAGAGTCTGAAGTAGTAGAAGGTATAGCATTGGCCAACAATCCTGGTGTACGAGAGGGTTGAGACTGAGGGGGTCGCCGACCACGTCCAGTACCTGAGGAACGTAACTCAGGATGAAGCTTGAAGCATGTCTCAATGCGGTGTCCTTCCTTCTTACAATATTTGCAAGAGAGCTTAGATCGAGCCTGTGGAGAGGGAGCCTGTGGAGAAGTATAATTCATAACAGGAGCAGTGACAGGTACAGACAAAACAGTCTCGAGTGAAGAGGTAGGAGTGTCTGTTGACAAATTGAGTCGTGCTGTCTGCTGCCGGGTCTCATAAGCAGTGAGAGCTCCCATAACTGAGGCCAAAGTCGGAAATTGAGGCTGGTGAAGTAGTTGATCAGCCATAGTTGAATATTCAGGAAGGGACTGAAACAATTGATGCACCTCATGCCGTTCGTACCAGGCTAGCCAGTCTTCATATGTGGAATTACGTCCAGGAAGCATGGAGCGTAACTCTGTCCAAAAAGCTTGCATTTGTCCAAAATGGGACTGCAGAGATGAACTACCTTTGCGTTGTAGAGAAATGCGTTGCAGAAGATATGCCTCCCGTGCACCCGAGCACTCAGTGAAACGCTCAGTGAGACGAGTCCACATGGCCTGAGCAGAGGGAAGCGAGCCAATCTCGACA